AAAAGTGACTCATATGCAATGAATGAGAAGTTGATCACATGAAATATGGAACAAAAACAAGATTAAATCATGGGATTCTTAAATCTAAGTCCGAAACGATTAGTTGAACCTAGAGGCGGAGCCACAGGAAGGCGTGCTATGGCTCTGGCCCCATTTATTTTCCGAATCTTTATAATCTATTAGCAATTTCTCCAATTAACTTTAGTGTTGGCCCCTCCAAATTGAAGATGAGAAAGCTATATGCAATTGAGTTACAAATTTTGGCCCCCTCATCTTGAGAATCCTAGTTCCGTCACTGACTCAACCCTATTAAATAATTGACGGTTCTCGAGATGGACCCAAAAAAATCGATACACACAATAGATTGATCGAACCAAACTGAATCAGATGTTCGGTTTTCAATAAAAATATTTGCTTTTTAGGACAGAACAGTTTCACACTAATTCGGCTATGTATGTTTGGATCAAATTGAACTGACCAGTTTGATTCTGTCTTTAATGAAGTACACAAGGGATTTAGTTGGAAATGGTTTTGTTTGAAGTAGATCAAGAATTATACAAAATTCAAGTGTTGTTCGAATAACTTAAATGTGTTTTCTGAAGAAGCACTGAACTTTTTTTTATGAGACGTGATGCTGACAGATCAGAGGAAGGAACGAAACCTCTCTGCTAGAGCTTTTATCTATTTTTAAATCAAAGGTACGATAATTTCTGTAGCAAAAAATCATGTGAACCAGAGTCAGACCATTTGTTCCTCTCATGTAACTTCAAACTAAAGTGACAGAGGAACATAAAACACTTAAACCTGCACCAAGAATTTCTCAGAATAGCTTTCTTCTTATATTCGCGGTCACGTAAAACACTGCTTAAAACCGAATCCCTACCTCCTACACCTTTCTTTTAGTTACATATCCAGTTAATTCAGCTTGCCACAATTATCATTACACTGTCGTAATTGTCCTTTACACGTACAAAGTACATTAACTAAATCAAGTGACAGTTATCTCTGCCGCACTACTTATTTCTTCGACAAACTGTGCTTTTGGCTCCAAGTCTATGAACTGGTTGGACTTGCTAGCGAGATGTGAAATGCTAACCCTTCCCTGACGCTTAATATAGTCTGCCACAGCTTGCATCTCTTCTTGGGAGATGTATATGTATTTCCCTCTGTCATCCATGACACCGGAAAGTCGCCCTAACACAAAGAAATACAACATTTTCATTCTCAACAAAGGGAATTTTACTTTCTGAAGCAAGGCATTATTCCACTAGGCCAAACAATTCAATGATGAAATGGCTCTGAACATACCCATACTCTCCAGAGAGGTAATCCGATTGATGCATTCCTGCATGAACCATTAGTTGCATTGTCAAATTAGTATGACAAATCTGGAAAAAATTCAAAACAATGTAACCTGATCAACCAAAAAGAAGGGGTTACTTTCTCTCCTGACCAGAGTTGCATAAAGAAAGCATGTTCGATATGAAAAGATCAGCACTCAGTTGATGACTCACTTAGAAAAGATATTTTCCATATGCCTTACTAGTTTTCACATAAAAACTTCATCTATTACTGCAATTTGAGGTATGTAAGCAGGCATGGAAATTGTTGATTTATATGTTTATTCAAGGAAAATATGTGGAGAAATTACCTGAGTTCTTAACTTGAATTCAGCAGCAAGATCTTCCAAGGGTACACATTTATGTTTCTGCAACATCAGGATTAATAGTAGTATTAATAACAAAATCACAACCTCAACTTGAAAGTCTCACTTTGTCAACCATTAACTCATCCGATTGAGGTCTCATATGGAAGACATGCAAACATTTGAAAGAAAAACAAACTCTAAACAAGTAAAGCTATCTTAAGGAGGACACAACAAGAGAATTTAGCCATTGTACGCACAAGCTTCTCATTGTGGTTCATTCACTCAGGCATCACCTCAAGTTCAAATCAAGTTTGACCATAACAGCTAGGGAGTAAAATTGTTTAGCAAATAAGCCAACGACCAGGTTGAACTGGACCAGACAAGTTAAACAAACTACAATCCAACCTTAATATCCATAGATCATTAGGCCATTTTCATCCCTAGTTTTGATGCCCACCCAATGGAAATATTCAAGGGGTAGCTACAAAAGTAAAGAACAATATCTCTGAATGAATGTAACAGGACAGAACTGAAAACTACCTTTATGTATTCCACAAAATCAGAGAGCAAATCCTGATGTCCATCCTGCACTTCATTTTCTGTAGTACCTTCAGCATCTATAGAAAACTCTCCTTTCCACTTCTCAAACTCTAAGGCAGCAGCTTCCTCCTCCCTCGCCTTCTGAGCCTTGGCTTCTTCCTCCTATAAAACAATAGTCATATCTTCAGCCAGTAATACAACCACACACACGTATACGCATCTTAATTATCCAACAGAGAGCAGAAAATCAACATACCAGCTGACGCTCCTGTGCCTCACGCTCCTCATCTTTCCTCCTCCGCATTTCAGCATAGCGGTCTTGTTTTGTATTCCTTGATTCACGTGCAGCTTGTTCAGCCTTCAAACAATGGGATGGAACCAAATAAAACAAATTAATTCTGCTTCACTTGAAAGGAAAAAGGGGGAAATAAAATAAAAAGAATGCAATGAAAACCATGAAAACAAATCAGGAACCAGCAGAAATAAATGCTTTTTCATGTTTTAGTATTTTATATCTATAGAATGCTGTAGTAATCAAACTTGTTAACATTTCCTACACCTCAATGACTACAAGGAATCAGCTTATGTCTTTATCACTAAATTTCGATATTCAGATATCTGCAAACTCATTAAAATGTAATGGCTGCTGGACATTCATGACAGGACAAGTTTACTAGAAAATGCAGAGAGAGAGACAGAGAGAAAATGCAATCTTTCAAATGAAGAGATAAAAAGGAGAAACAATACTTGTCGTTGTGCTTCCCGCTCCTGACGCTTCTTTTCCCTTTTCTTAGATGCTTTGGCTTCATAATACTCACCCTCGCCTTCCTCATCACTTCCATCAACAGTTTCTGTATTTAGAATTATTGATGGTCACTTTATTTGACAGAATACCACTTTTTCTACTTATTCAGATTACATAAGGAAAAACAATTTTCCTTAATATAGGTACCCAACACTAGTGAATGCAACAGACAAGTCCAAATTTGCACCTCCACTTATGCAGGTTACATTTTCTAAACTGAAAACGACTGCCTCATTTTAGAAGTCTCTTCATGAATGAATAAACCTATTTCTCCTCGTTGAATAATCACAGGTCTAACCACAC